TGTATGCAAATGGACAGGAAAATTATAGCAATAATTGCAGACTCTTTTTCACCAAAGACAGAGTGGCCTTGGGGAATTAGAATATGGAAGACATAGTCCAAAGAAACTGCATTCTCATTCAGGCGCCAACTGACTTGCTGGATAGGGCTTTGGCCAAGGTCATACACGCTCTGTACCTCAGTTTCCTTACACGTTAAAAACGATTTGCCCCTTTGTGTTTCTGGGAAGATGAATCAGATGTTTCTGAAGCACCAGAACTGGTCAGAAAAAGGTGGTGTAAGAATATCCAGCAGTCCTGTTATTATTTCCCTGTGTATACTGTTGGCATGAGGCACGTTGCTGCAGAGGTTCACACGCAGTTCCAAGCTGGCTGAGCACCTGCGAGCAAGAGAAGAGCCATGGACTCTTAGGTGACGTTAAGGGAGAGAATCTCAATGGCACCACAAGCTCTTTCTCTTGTTCAAAGGGCCAATCGGGATGTGGATGGTGGGGGTGGTGCGCGGGGCGGTTAGAGGGTGGATATGGGAGTTTTAATGTCTAGCAAGGCGGTAATGCAAAAAGGATTTTGAAATTCTAGAGCCCAAATCGGAATCTCTGCTTTTCACTCACGACACGACCTGGGACAAATTATTCTGCCAATAAAAAAACAACTTTATTTTTCCCATCTGTAAAATGGGAATTTGAATAGTATTGTAACGTTGTGGGAAATTTTGAAGGCATATCGTTGAAAGGACTCTATTACACTAGTTTCTATGGTAATTTATAGGATTTGGGGCCAAGCATATGTTGACAAGTCGATCTTTAAATAATGTAAGAGGAAAACGCAAATATCTTATAAAACAATATGATTTCAAGGGCCTACGAAGAGAAAAACTTGTTTGATTCACTCCTATTTCATGGGTCCCGGGTGACTACTCAAACCTTTAATATTTGGCACCCAAAACACACACAGCAAAGGCTCCGATTCGCCTTACTAAAAACTGCTTTCTATTTGAAAGCTACATCTATATTGAAACATCTCTTGGACGTCGACCAGCTCTTAGAAAACACAGCCCCGACGCTGCGTTTTGGTTGCTTCAAAGGGAAAGGAACCGGGGGCGCCGGGAAGACGTGGCCCAGGAACCGCGCTCTCCCAGCGGTGCAGCCTTGGGGCAAAGCCCCGAGGGCAGGACGCGGTTTTCTTTCTTTCTTCTTTTTTTTCCCCCTAATCGATC